AGGCTCTTCACTCTTCAATTCAGAAAGATCGCCCTGACCTTAGGGTATTGCTTTGAACACAACACCTAAGAGGCTCTGGAAGGACAGTATCATTTTCTGGTCAACACTTGCGTTTGTTTAGTATCTGTATCCTAACTTCTGGGGCTGTAATAGAACTGTAGCTGACTTACTTAAATAAACATGTAGGGCTGGGGCGTAACTCAATGGGCAGAGCGCTTGCCTAGCATACACAAAGCCTGTGTACGAAGACAAAGGGCAAGGACGCTGTTGCCTGTAATCCCTGCACTCAGATGATGGAGGCAGAGGGATCAAAAGTTCAGGGTCATCCTCAGTTACATAATAGCAAGTCTGGGGTCAACGTGTACTACATGAGACCTTGTCAAAAGCAAAGGGCCAGCCAGCCAGATGGTGCAGCAGATAAACATGTTTGCTGATTCAGCCTAGCCACCTCAAGCCAATCTGAGAACCTATATAAAAATGGAGAGCTAGAATGGACTCCATGAAGATGTCCTCTGAGACACACACACACACACACACTCACAAAATGGTATTTGCACACAGACATGCATACACACAATGGCATTTGCAAACCCACTTACATGCCTGCACACACACACACACACACACACACACACACACACACACACACACACACACGCGTGGGCAAAATGGGGCATTTGCACGTGCACACACATACTGATAAAAAACATTTTAAAGTGAAGTCAAATAAAAGAAACAGATCAGCGTGCATGATTTTTTTTAACTCCATGCTGCAGTTTCAGATCACTGAATTTTTTCTTAATTCCCATGAGCATTATTTATTTCTATGACTGTTGTTTTCCTTTTTCCGATCAATCAGTTCATATGTGGCCATCATAAGTAACTTGGGACACTTCGTGCCATCACAACAACTACAGTTTTGTCCCTTCAGGAATACAGCATCGTGCCATGGCCATAGCAATGCCCATAGCCTCTCACAGTCCTGCCAAGCTGTGGTCACAGGTGGTTTTCCAGGCTTATCTGTTTAAAAACGGCATTTTCAGCCGGGCTGTGGTGGCACACGCCTTTAATCCCAGCACTTGGGAGGCAAAGCCAGGCGGATCTCTGTGAGTTCAAGGTCAGCCTGGTCTACAGAGACAGATCCAAGACAGGCACCAAAACTACACAGAGAAACCCTGTCTCAGAAAAAAAAATTATATATATATATATATATATATATATATATATATATATACATATTCTGCCCTAGTTTAAACATTCCTCTCTCTCAGTGACGGGGTACCCCTGGAACAAACCGAAGACTTACATACTTAAATTGTTAGGAATTTTGGTTCCTTCATTATGGTTAATCTTATGATGTGTCCTTTAGTGTCTCTTTTTTGTTTTAAATTAAGCTTTTCAATTTCTGAGGTTTTGTCTACATTCTAAGCAGGATTTTACTTTAAGATAACAATGTGTGTTTCCTCAGATACACGTAATTACATCTGACATCTCCTCTAATTATATCTTTTTATATTTATGATTATCGTCTGTGTCAGTTGTAATGATGATTAGAACTTGGGTGCAGGAAACACTTTTAGGTTGGAGAAAACAGCTTATTTGGAAACCAGGAAACGTGATAAGCCTTTTATTTAACATCATTTGTCAATTGTTGCATATTTCATGACTAACTCTTGGCTTTCAGCTCGCCTCACTTTCTTGTCTTCTAATTACCACTTCCTCGATGCTGGTTCTGATTTCGACACTGGCCAGCAGAAAATCGTTCATTTCACTCCATCTGTCCTTAAAATCTCAACTGCCACATATCACTGAAAGCGTTCTTGTTCTTTAGCAAAAACAGAACAGAACAAAACAAACAACAACAAAACTGTTCTGAAAACAACAACATTCTGCTTATCTCAACCACGACACACAGCTATGTTTAAGAAAGGAAGTCCACTGCTTATTGCTCATTAGTGGAGAGTCAAATTAGAGGAATGAATTGGAGAAAAGAACCATGATATGAATGGGCACATAGGAATTCACAGAAGGGAGGAAATAACTTGATCACCTTCTTTAGAATAAATGGTTACAATCAAAGATCATATAGAGAAAACTTCAACTGTTACCATCCATTTGGGTCTTCTGCATAACTTAATGCTCCTCTTTTTTCTAAATTACCATCTTTATTATATGTACACACAGAAGTGCCTTCCCAATCCATTTCTTAAAACTAAACTACCATTAAAATTAGGAGGGCTCTTCCTTTTCATTCATACTTATATCCAAGTATAAAACTCAGTGCTCACAATACACGAATTCTTTCATCATTTTAATAATGGCTATAGCAAAGCTAATGATGTTTTTCCTTTAATCAAATAAGCCCACGTAGAACCTACCTGGGGATGTCCCTCTATTTTCATAAGAACAATACAGACCTCAGCTTTATTTGCATATGTATTAATGTGTGAGCTAATATTAGCATTATTTTAATAACAGGCAAGTGTGTGTGTGTGTGTGTTCTCCTTAGACAAGGTCTCACTATAAAGTCCTTTTTGACCTAGAACTCACTGTGTAGATCACACTGGCATCAAACTCACAGATATTTATCTGCCTCTGCCTCCCAAATGCCAAGATTAAAAAGTACATGCCATCATACTTAGAAACAACAGGTAATATTAATGTTTAACCTTAGTATCTGAAATACTTCTAAGATTTAATTTTATATTTTTATGTGCATGTGTGTATAAATGTGTATATATATATGTGGGTGCACAGAGAGGTAAGAAGAGAACATCAGGCTTTTGAAACCTGAGTTACGTGTGTCTGAAGTCACCTGACTTAGGTGCTGGGATCTGAATCCAGTCCTCAGCTTGAAGCAGCAAATGTTCTTTTTTGTTTTGTTTTGTTTTGGTTTTTTTTGAGACAGGGTTTCTTTGTGTAGCCCTGGCTGTCCTCGAACTTATTCTGTAGACCAGGCTGGCCTTGAACTTAGAGATCCCCCTGCCTCTGCCTCCCAAGTGCTAGGATTAAAGGCGTACGCCACCACTTAACCACTGAGCTATCTCTTCTGCTCCTCAACTTCTTAAAAACAAGAAGTTATTACTTTAACACTATGACAATAAAAGTTTTCAAAAAGCATTTAAGAATGTTAGTGAATGGAGTTAAGCCAATGCCCTGTAAATATAAATTAAAAGTCAATAATTGTCTTAACCAACTCAAATATTAGATAATTTTCCCCAAAACAGTTCAAAATCCATGAAATGTTTCATATTAAGCTTAAAAAGAACAAAATCATAAAATATTCTAAGCAAACTGTTTTATGAGGCACTTCAGAGGTAGCTCATAATCCTCATCATTGAATCTACACTCTGCAACCAGGTCAGGTCCAGGGGGCTTCATGGTTTGTACAGAAACAGAAATGCCAATCATTTATAACACCACAGTCACCCAAAGCTTAAAGCACATGAAGATTAATGCAATGGCGTAATTCTCTGATGCATTACAATGTCCTGTCTGTTTCCCTAGTTTCTGCAATTTGGAAGGATTGAGAAAACAAAATCACACTGAAAGAATTAGAATGGACAGAAGAAATAACTTGCAGTTTATTGGAAGGTATTATTCTAATTATTAGCATCAGGTAAAAGGACCCTCCACACTGAGAAATACTCCTTTTTGGTTCTATCTACTGTTTTATTATCTTTTGGATTTAGAACATTTGTAAGCTGGGCATGGTGGCACACTCCTCTAATCCCAGCACTCTTGAGTCTCTGTAGGTTCAGGACAACCTGGTCTACATAGTGAGTTCCAGGAGGGCCAGGGTAACAGAGTGAGAACATGTCTCAAAAAGATAACTAAGTAAGTAAACAAATAAATACAACTTAAAAAATAAAAAATAAATAAGAGAAACAAAAACAAACATTTATGATAAAATGTCTCCAACATTAAACTGTAAATCAGAATATAGAAAACTAAAAACAGCTGTGATACACAGAAAAACAAGGCTAGAGATAACTTACCATATATTTCAAGTCCCTGGAGAGTCACAGAATAGAATTAGGTTGGTACAGACAGACACAGAGTAATTAGAAAAGGCAGGTCAGAGGTAAACCCAAACATACACATGCCATTTTTCCATATGACAAGTGTTAACATTTCAGCCCCATGAAAAACCAAGGGTCTTGGTTTTTTTGGATTTTGTTTTGTTTTGGTTTGGGTTTTGGGTTTTTTGTTGTTGTTGTTGTTGTTTGTTTTGTTTTTTGTTTCTTTTTTGAGACACGGTTTCTCTATATAGTCCTGGCTGTCCTGAAACTTGCTCTGTAGATTAAGCTGGCCTTGAACTCACTGACATCTGCCTTCCTCTGCCTCACAAGTGCTGGGATTAAAAGCATGTGCCACCACTGCCCAGGGCAAATCAAGGGTCTTGTAATAGCTAGAACTTGGGTTACAGCTTATGCATCTGAGAAACAAAAAGAAACAGGACCGTGCCTCATATCACATCCTACATTGAAAATTGGATTAACATTCAAATGTTTTGCATTTTTTTTTAAATGAGGCAAAAATATTTAAGACAATTTCTCATGATCTGGAGGTAATCAAACCATGTGAAGCACAGAAGACATCTCAGAAGTCATAAATGGAAAGATATTTTTGATTAAACAATTAACAATTTCCACTTGACAGGAGACATTATACAGAGAGGGAAAAAATACCACAGAGATGTTTTCACACATATAACAAACGATTAACACCGTTAAAAACTGGGCTCCTAGAACTTGAAAATGGAAAGATGGGCTATGAAAATGAGATGAAGAAAAAAGGAACCCAGACATTTGACACACAAAAGCAGACTTGGCCTTAGCGGCAGGAGAGAAAATGAAAAATCAATCATTAGAGACAATAAGGCTGGCAAGAACTTAAAAGGGGCATCCCAGGGCTGGAGAAAATGCAGGAAATGGGAGGTGGCTTGCTATTCCTTCGGGTAATGTAGCAATGTCTATGAAAATTAAAAACACACATACCGTTTGACCAAGCAATTCCACTTCTGGGAATCTACCCTATAGGGGAAAAAGGACCAGTATGTAAGTATGTAAGCACAGCGACATCTGCAGCACCACTGCTGTTGGGCATTAGGGCGGCAAGGGTGGTACTGAATACATGAATGTCCACCCATAAGAAACGAAACTGCCAATCATCTCTCATGCCAAATATTACGTCATCGTTCAAATGACTGGGACAGAGTTGTCTCCATCAAGTTGGAAGACTGGTGAGGTGAGAAACTCAATCATTAGAGACAATATGCCTAGCATATTGCCTAGAAGAATAAACGCCTAGCATTTCTGCTAAGGTGGGGTAGCAATGTACGTGAACACACTTGGGTATAAAGCCAAGAATGCAAGCGCAGAATAACCCAACAAGTGCCACATGAGTGATAAATGGAGACAGCGTTTATGTTCGGGCTGGCCCTCTAGTTAGGATGAGCACAGTTGTGACCTCTATAACTTTCACAGTTATGTTTGACGATGAATGTCAGCCTCCGTTAGTAGAAGCACCCCAGGACATTCGTGCTTCATGAACTAGCACCGAAGGGACAAACGGCTTTTTGTTGGTTCACGCTCATCTACCCCGTGTTCATTCTTGGTGGCTTGCCCACATGTACATTTTTGTCTGTTTCCTCTATGTGTGTTTACCATATAGTTTGGGCAACGCAGACTACACTCCATTTCCAGGGACTCCTAACCTGTTTCTAACTTTTCCATTGTCACTTACACAGTTGTAGATCTTCTAGTTGTCATGTTTTTCAAATTTTTAAAAAAATAAAATGTGAATGTGATTTCTTAATAATTCTTAAGATTATGTGTGTGTGTATATATATATATGGCAGGTCCCAAACTGCATTCTAAAGGCATTGGCTTTCTGTGTATTTCTCATGTGGATAGGAAGGAACAAATGTGTACACAGCATGTGGAGGCCACAGGCAATTTTGGGTGTCTTCTTCAATGGCTCTCCACCTGTACTGGCTGGTTTTGGGTCAACTTGACACAAGCTAGAGTCTTAAGATAGGAAGGAGTCTCATTTGAGAAACTTCCTCCATAAGACCCATCTGTAAGGCATTTTCTTAATTAGTGAATAAAGGGGGGGGGGGCCCAGACCACTGTGGGTGGTGCCATGCCTGGGCTGGTGGTCCTAGGTTCTATAGGAAAGCAGACTGAGCAAGCCATGAGGAGCAAGCCATTAAGCAGCACACCCTCCATCAGCTCCTGCCTCCAGGTTCCTGCCCTGTTTGAGTTCCTGTCTTGACTTCCTTCAATGATAAACCGTGCTTTGAAAGTGTAAGCTGAATAAACCTTTTCCTCCTCAGCTTGTTTGTTGGTCACAATGTTTCATCACAGTAATAGAATCTCTAAGACACTATCTATATTTTTGAGAAGAAATCTCTCACTGAATCTTGTGTTCAATGATTGGCTAGACTGACAGGCATTTGAGCCCTAAGAATTCTCCTATCTTTATCCCTCCATGACTATCATTCTAGGTACCCTCCTTTCTACATGGACGCTAGGCATTTGAATTCAGGCCCACATCTTGTGTAGTCAGCACTTTACAGACTTGAGACATCCTCATAGCTTAGTCAATTCAATTTTAATATCCTTGTTCTAATCAGATAGATGCCCCCAAATTCTTTTATTTCAATATGGCATTTAAGAACTATGAATAAGAAAACCCACATTCTTTCATACTTCAACTCAACTAGCCTAATGGCAAGAGCTCAACATATCCATAGTTAGGTTCAAAATTTAAAGTGGACCAATCAAAGGGAAACTATCATGACAGGAAAATAAAGGTTATCCATTGGGTGAAAATGAAAAAGGAAAGAAAGTGTCCTGGGAACAGTTGGCACACAGCAGTTGTATCAACCCAGGTCTGTATGAACAACACACCCTGGCTATTTTGGTATAAAGCCTAGGCTTTTCAGTCTTCTGTGCCAGGTAGCTTTCTTTATGTTATTCAGACACTTTGGGTTAGGTTTTCTACTAGCTGCAATTTTAACCTGACCAATCAATAAATTTCTCAATGGATATTGCCATGTCCATGCAGAATTGTTTTCTGAAAGGAACTTACTGAGTTCTTTCAAATTTCTACTATTTACTCAAGGTATCCTTGTGTTCAATTACCTTGATTTGGTAACATTTGGGAGAATTTTCTAAAAAATCCTCAGTGGAGATCCTCAGGCTAATACTTGATGACCCAGGACAAGTTTCTAGTGACCACACAAGAGTGATTCTCCTAAATGCATCGGATCCATGGATTCTCAGCTGTCACCTCTCATCTACCTCTACTTCTCATCCTTCCTCTCTGGATCATGTTTTCGACATGTTGGGGAGGTAACTGCTGGGAGCTGGAGATAGCGGTTTCCATGTACACTGCAGGACATTCAACATTATTCTCGGCCTCTTTTTACTAGAAAGGGAAAGCCTTGTCTACCCTCAGGAATTAGGACAACCAAAGATATCTCTAGACATGGTCAAATGTCTCTGGGGAAGGGAAGACAGCAAAATTACTTTGGATTTCCTCCTGTCCTAGACCAATGATCAATTTAATTGTACAATAGACCTTGCTGTGCTATAGGAACAATTCTTGGAGTGTGAACATCCCTCAGGTGTGCCCTGGAGCACAACCTTTCTGGGCCTCTCCTAGGCCACTGAATTCACTCTAGCCAATTTTCCTTTCTCACTGTCCCTTAGCATGGAGCCTGAGCTCTCAACTGCTGTCCTTCTTTCTGGAAAAAAAAATTACTGCTTCTTCCTTCCAATCGTAGATTCCAATCATTGCCTGAGCTGTTCCAAGAACTGCCCTCCCAGGCCTTCCTCTTGGACTTCTCTGAAAGGGATTTCCTGAGGAAGTATGTGTTCATTTCTGTCACTCACTCCCCAGTTGAGGTCCTGGATCCTGGGCCACTGGGTTCATCTTTATGCACCATCTGAAGGCATTTCCATCCCAGCCTCTCCATACTGGCCCGTCATCCCCTCTAATCCATCTCTAGGACTATACTTAATTGTAATTACTGCAGATCTATCACAGCTCCACAAATTGACCTATAGACGCCATGCAATGGCAGGAGAAAAGAAAAAAAAAAAAAAACCTCTTGGATTTTCTTGTACAAGTGCACAAACTTCCTCTAGAGTTTAAAAATCCCAAGCAGCTAAAAAAACAGCTTGGAAATGTATGAAGTTGAAGGATGATCAACAGCATCAATAGGATTCACTCTCAAGCCATGATCAAGATGTCGTGGCATTGGCATAAAGACAGATCAATGAAACAAAAGAGAAAGCCTTCAACAGACACTCACATGTGGGAACAAGTGAGCTTTGACAAACACACACAGAATTTCAAGCCAAAGGATACTCTGTTCAACAAAAGATACCAGTATTCGATATTTATATAGAAAAACAGGAACTTTCATTCACATCTCTCTTGATGGGTAAAAATTAACTCAAAATTAAGCACAGACCTAAACATATGAAACTTCTGGAAAACAGAGGAGGAAAATTTGTAATTGTGTACATTTCTTAGATTTAGCACCAAAGCCTTAAAGAACAAATTAAAAGGCCATCAGAATTCAAAACATTTGCTCTTCTGATTATAAAGAGAATTAAAAACTCACAGGCTAGGAGTCCTCATTTACAGATTCAACATCTCTTATCCAAAATGTTTGCAACTTGAGATGTTCCAGATTGCTGAATATTTTAGATTTGGGGTTTCTGGATTAGGGATGCTCAGTCTGTAGCAGATTTATTTATAAAGGCCAAAAATTATCAATTTCCCAAAGTGTCATCAAGAAGTGAATGTATAATCAGACAGTGACATTGCCATGCAACAGAATATTACCTAGCAATGGAAAGAATTAGTAGTAACATATGCAATATCGGTTAGAACGTGGATAGACTTCAAAATAGGTATATTCAGTGAAACAAGCCAGAACGAAAGGGGGGTGGGGGGATGTTATTTCCAGTAGCATTTCAGAACATTTTAAAAGTGCAATCTAATTTCTGGGTGGTGGGTGGGGGGTGGAAAGCATTGACAGTTGCCTGGCTGGGTACAGGGTGGAGTGAGTACTCCAAGGGACAGAAGGGACCTCGCAGGGGAGATAGGCAGTACACACTGCTGCTGTTGCTGGTGACTGCATGTGCACACTTCATTTCCTTCATTTTTATTCTGCAGCACCAAGGACAGATATGGAATCTCATGAACTCTATCACCGAGCATGCACAAATCCCAACTGTGGACTGGAGACTGTGTGCACTTTCCTCAATGCCGAAGAGGCTTCAATAAATCTGTCTTCTCAGTGGGAATAGAAATGTGATCTCAACTGGCAGAGCACGTGAGGTCCCCATGTTCTTGGGGACAGCTGAAGTGAGTTCATGCTACATGGGGTTCCAGGGGCGGAAGCAGCTGGAGGAATGGCTGTGTGTGATTCTGCTGTTTTAAAATTCTGCCATGGCTTCAGAGCAACAGAATTCCTGATGCTTTGGTACGTTAATGCAGTGTAGCCTAGGCACCTAGGTAGTGTGGTAGGAGATGTGGTGTACATTAGCCTGAGGAGTGACTAGGCGGAGTCTAGGAAGTGGTGAGCAGAAGATCTTTGCTGTGATTCGCCTCTTAAAATCTGCAGGACAACCACTGCCATCACTATTCTATGTTCCTCGTGATGTATAAATGCAACCACCTGGAGCAAATCACACAGGAGAAGAAGAGGGAAAGATGGGAACAGGCCAAACCAAAACAGAGCTGGTTTAAAACTAAGGAGCCTGACATCTCAAAGATAATAATTCCGTTATATGCTTTACCCAATGTTTATGACAATATGTGTCCACGATTTTACCAGAGCCACCTTACATTAACATACAAATCAATACCTTAGCATGCCACCTTAAAAACCAACACTGCTCCCCTAAGATGTGAAACCTGCACACCGAGCTAATTCATTCATCTCAGCACGTGAGGTCAAGTGCAGTTTTCAAACACCCTTCAGCTCTTCCAAGTGCTTCTGTAGCCCACA